CAAAAAGAAGCAAACACAAAGGACGAAGGCACAAAAACCCCGTCGCACCCGAGACCAAAAGTCATGCAGAAACCCCAAGAAGAGGGGGACATGACGGAGAAGGCCCGTCCCGGAAAAAAGGGGCGAAGACCGTAGAAAAGCACCCACCGACAGGATGGAAACAACGGGCACAATGGACAAGGAAACCGAGCCCAGGGAGGGGCCGACGCCCACAAAGCACGTGCGGAGAGGGGGAACGGAAAAACCCCACACCACAGAACTGCAAGCCCCGCCCAGAGGGGTAGAAACACCCTGGCGGGGACCAACGGGGCCTGAGGCCCCTCACGTTAGCCCCACCCCAGCCCCAGGAACCCACCCTGCAGGTCCTGGGGCCGAGCTGTCCCCTCAAAGCCCCAGCATCAAGAAAAACCCCGGGGCAGCCGTGAAAAACACGAAGGAAGGGAGCCCACTAGGCTCTGGAACTTGAACCGAAACCGGAGGATAGGCGAGGGGCGAGACGAAGACCCCAAGCTCATCCCCAGCCAGCACAATGAGGCGAGGACAAGACAGAGAATCCAAGGAACATGGAAAAACCAGGCCCGGCACAGCAAGACCGGCAAAGGAAGGAGAGCCCCAGAGGGAGCACGGAAGGGCCGAACATAATGCCACAACCAACCCCGACACGCAGCTGCAGTACCAAAACCGCAGCAAAACGTCACCACACTCCCGAGGAAGCGACAGAAGATAAAGATAAATCGTACACGAGTGGCACACAAGGGGACACAGGCGGAAACCGAGCACCCAACTGAGCCACAGGGACGGTAGAAGAAACGTGTGCAGTGTAACAGGCAATCGAAGGAACACATTAGGCAGCCCAACTTGGGCTGACCCCATACACAGCCCCAAGAGCAGAGACGAGAGCGCCCATGAAGCACAGAATCCGCTCGACAGGCGAACGACAGGGAAGAGGCGGAACCAAAGAGCCAGAACCCAATCCTGCAAGCACAAGGAGGCGAGCACAAAACACCCCGACACAGGAAAACGTACCACCGAACAGGCACCCCCACCGTTGCACCGTGGAACAAGGTGGAGGCGGGGGCCCCGAACTCAAGCAAGGTTAGACAAGCATAGGAGAGGGGCAGGAGGAGTACAGGCAGGAGCCGCCTCGGAAGGGCCAAGAGGCCACCCGCAGACACCCGTGAACCGAGGAAGGAATCAGGTGGAGAGAACAAGAGCTGCCCTGTATGGGCTAATAGCCCTGCAGTAGGCACCTCGGGTGATACGGTCCACGTTCTCAAGTACGTATGTACACCCATTCCTACTCCCAAAAACAAAAACCGCGTCAGGACGAAGGAGACGCTAAACCGCACCAACTCACCTGCAGAACATAGGCGCTGAAGGGCCATGACGCAAGCCTTCGAGTACGTAGCCGCCGGAGGCGGCCAGGGCGCCCATGCTGGAGAGGAGGAGGGGAGCAGCGAAGGAGGCTCCCCACCCTAGAACGCAGGGAAAAACCTCGTGACTTCCCCACAGCGGCACCCCAGAACACCCCCAAAGCAACGGGGCACGGATTGGATTAAGGAAAGAGCGAGAGGCGAAGACCCCTGTGCAACTGCCCAAGTCCAAAACCTCTCCCTGGCCCGACCCCGAAGCGTGCAGAAAAGTAGTCCAACCAGGCAGAAGTAGCCCAACCAGGGAGAAGTAGCCCAACAAGGCGAGAAGTAGCAGGCGAGAAGTAGAACCAAGGCCGAAGCGACCAAAACCCCCAAGTCTGGGTCCCTACACAAAGCAGGGCAGCAGTAGGGCGTCCGGGGAAGCGACAAACCCAAGCCAGTTGCAACCTACCCTGCAACGGGCGAGCTGCCTGCACCCACGGGAATTCATCAGCAGACTGGGTGAATGGAGTCACGAACAAGCAACAAAGCTCGCAGGACTCAGGGTCGAATGTGTCACCGACCCAACAGGCAGCATGACGGAGGCAAAAACAAGGAGAGTCACCCTGAGACAAAGGGACAGAGCAACCCTCAACTCGCACAAAGCGAGAGGGGATGCAAGGGTCTCCACTATCGGACCCGAGAGCCCCCGGGGGGTTTCCCAGGGCCCCTAGACTGGGTCTGCTAAGGGTTATCCCAGGCAGGGCACTGCTAACCGGCGCCCCAAACTACCAAGCAAACTGCTAAAGCTGAACCCACGGGACGTGTCCACTCGTGAGGGCGAAGCAGGGGGTGCCACCACACAAACGAACCTAATATAAGGGGGGGGGGAACACAAGGCAGACCCCCCTACCAGGCAAAAACAAATATAAAAGAAAAACCACACAAGTGGACAACGTACCCAGAGGGAACAGAGCCGGCCGCTGTCATAGGTGAAAACTAGCTACGCAGTACCCTGCGCCCCACCAGTGCGATAACTACCACTTACCCCAAGGTAAACAAGGGAGTAAAACCCCCAAACACTCGGGGCGGCCAAACGCCAAGCAGCGAAAAGCCAACAGAGGTAGACCCAAGGTGACTTGTGGAAGGCAACCCCAAGCCCCAAGGGCGGTACTTACAGGGCACTCAGGGAAGGTGACCCTAAGCACATGCAGCCCGAGTACCTGAGAATACTACTCCCAGCTCACACGACCACCGTAAGAGCAGCACTGCAAACAAGTCACAGCACTGAGACAAGACCGGAGCTGGAGCCACACAACCATGTATTATCCCATCAGCCGAGGAACTGGGGCAGGGATCGCCGGCGCGGGGGTCTGGGACTCCCCCTCCAGGGGGGGGGAGGGGGAGCTGCGCAGACATGCGGCATGGCTCGTGTGACGTCATGCTTGTTAGTTCGTTTCTCTTGGGGAGTTTTGTCCACTCGTTTGTCAATTTTCGTTGTTAACCAGAATAGGGGTTTGTTTTGTGGCGCTTACCTTTCTGGGTGCCTGTCCCGGTCGATGGCAGATATAGAATGCTCCAAATCACATGTGCATTTCTATGGGCCATTGCTCCCCGTGCCTCTGTGAGGGGGCCAGGTTCTGGCTCGTGGTCCCCGGTAGGCCTAGAACTTTACCCACATCGACTGATGCAAAATAGTTAGGTATTCATGTCAGCCATGGATAGCTCCGGGGAGCCATAGGGGCTCTGTCAGCCATGAAAATTCCCCAGAAAACAAACCAAACTTGTACAGGGAGAGGGGGGGTAAGAAAACCCCTCGCCCTGTAACAAAAAAACCTGTGACGAGGGGCACCAAAACCCAAGCAGGATCAAAGGGGGTCTAAGCACCCCAGGGCAACTCCTCCCCAGCCCCGAGAGCCTCCACGTCAGGCCCCAGGGCAGAGCCGATCTCCATGCCCTCCAGTCCTGAAGAAAAGGCAAAGTCCTGGGGAAAGGCAGCAAAGAAGGAGGAATGCTGGTTGGACCCTGAAGCCTCGGCAGGAGGAACAGGCTCAAATGCCTCCGTCTCGAAAGGGACAGCCCTCGAAGCTGCCTGAATCTTATCACCAACTAAAACCCAACCCGACTCCGAAATCCTGAGATGTTTGGGAGCAGGTAGCAAGGCAAACCACGCCCACCGGGAAAGAACCTGAAGACGCGGACGGAGCTAAAGTCAAAGTGACCAATGTCCCAGGTCCAGGTCCCTAAAAGCAAAACAAGGCAGCTCCGGGGCACTCGAGTGAGCAACCATCCTAGCCCGTTGCAAAAACCAAAACCCATAATGCAGCGCAGATGCCGTCTAACCCTTAAGAACTTCCGAAGAAGAATGGGTAAACTGAAGAACAAACTGTGTACATGTCTCACAAGACTCCGGGTCGTAGGTGTCACCGACCCAACAGGCAGCATGAGTGAGGCAAAACAGGTGACCATCACCCTGAGACTAGGGCAACGAACAACCTTCAAACTCGCACAAGGCGAAATGGGACTGGGAAGATGCATCCATGGGTCAACCAAGCCCCAATGGGGTTTTCTAGGGCCTGTAGGGGGTTCAGTCTACGGGAAGCCCAGGCAACGGTATTGCAAAGCTGGATGAGCCCAAATGAGAATGTCAACAAGGGGAAATAGTGCTTTAACTGGACCCCTGAGAGATTTACAAGCACAGGGGCCTAGAGAAGGGCCACCAAAATACCTTAGGTGGACTAATAGTCAAACCAGGCAGCCCTCCTCCAAGTAAAAACAAAAAGAAAAGAAAACTTCACAAAAGCACAACCACAACAGGAGGAACAGGGAACACGGCCGCCGCGTTGGTGGGCATGCTGAGCGGCACCTTGCACCCAAACCAGCAATAACAACACTTCCTACCCAAGAACAAACAAAGGCCACTAAACCTCAACTGAACCCAAGGGTGGGGCAACTGCCAAGCAGCAGCAACCTCTATGAAAGTGAAGCTCGAGAGCACCAGGGAAGGCAACCCTAGAACGCAAGGGTAGTAGTCACAGAGCGCTTAGGAAAGGAGCTCTAAGCGCATGTAGCCCTCATTACTATATAATACTCCTGGCCATCATGCCACAAACAGCAAGAAACACCACAAGGGCACAAAATCCAGCTAGAAACTGAGGCTAGAGCAACATCCGCCCCCAGAGTGCTTCAGCCACGAACTGAGGTGTGAAGGGGGGCCGGCATGTGGGTCTGGGTCTCCCCCCCCTTCCCAGGGAGGGGAGGGCTGCGTGGTGGCAGTGAATGACAATTGCTTGTTTGCTAGTTTCCTTTGTTTTCTTTTGGCGAGTTCATTTCCTCTGTTCGGTCTTGGGTTTTTACAATTTCTACCATGTGAGGCTTGTTTTAAGATGCCTACCTTTCTGGGTGTCTAATCCCAGTCGATGGTAGACAAGGAATACCCCCAAATACACAGGGGTCTCCTTAAGCCATTGCTCCCTGTGCCTCTCTAAGGGGGCCAGGTTCCAGCTCTGGTTCCCAGTAGTCATGACTCCATTGACTGAAGCCCCAGAATAATATAGCGCATATCAGTCCTATAGCTCCAGGGAGCCGGAGGGGCTCCCCATAGAAAAGTTGAATGAACAAAAGTAAGTTATCTTTCATAAAACTCACCACTGTAACTGGGATGGACAGGTCCTGACCATGGTAACAGAGAGCAAGTGCATGGTTGCCTGCTGAAGCAGCAATAACACCTTTCTTCTGTTGTTGTTCTGGCAGCATCAGTAGTGTGTATCTCGCACCACGTTCCTTAGGGAGTAAGTGCAGTTTAACAGCGTGAGCAAGGCAGTAAACAAGAGAGGGAGCGAGTAATTTGTGAGAGCGTACAATATGTGTCTATAGCTCTAATCTCCTTTAAGTATTGTACTGTGTATTAATTTAAACCAATACACATCTGCAGATCAAGATATGTGTAAGATATTAAAAACAAAATTTTCAGATGTAGCCTACATCCTATCTCATGGTGGTGTACTCACCTAATTGTGCTTGCGGGGGTTGAGCTGTGGCTCTTTAGTCCCGCCTCTCAACCGTCAATCAACAGGTGGGGGTATACATTATTTGTCAAGTTCTAATCTTCCATACATTTAATCACAGCATTACAATGCCAATACCTTTGCCTGAACAAAGTTTTGGGACATGAAGGAGTTTTGAATTTCCTGCTTCTCATACTGGAATAGGTTTCTCATATTGGAATCTCATACTCATACTTTCTCAAAGGTTTACTTCTTATACTGGAATCTCTCTATACCAGTTATATCTTGCAAAATGTTTCCATCCCAGTATGCAATGAGTGGAACATTTGTGGCAAAGGTTTGTTTAATATCCTCAGCTATCTCTTATGTACAGCACTCCTTTCCCTCTGCAATGTACTTACACTTAATACATCAATATCAACTCCAAAGGCAGAAACAGTTGGGGCTACCACCATGAAAGCACTACTATCACTTGCTTTTATCATATTTAACACAGTTAAAAAAATTAATTTTTCAAAATTTCAATCATCTGGCGGCAGCAAGACTAGTAACTGTGTGACTCATCATAGATGTAAAGTGCCTTGTATAGTGACTGTTGTGAGCCTCTTGTTGATCATTTGTGACACAAAAGATTATTGATGTGTGTATTTGTGTGGGTGATTAAATATGTATGTGTATGTGTATATAAGTATACGTATATATATATATATATATATATGTACATGTATGTATGAGAATGTGTACATGTATATATAACATTAATAATTTTGTAACTAGCGTCAAAAATTTGTTATTTGCTTAGCTAAACGAACTAGAGGGTTCAGTTCCTGAACCGATTATGTGCCTCTGTAATCCTTTACATCACTGTCCACGGGATGGGTATGGAGTGCATAATAAAGAAAGAAATTGAATTGGCGGCAGCACTAAATATGATTTTATTTTGCCAAAATTTAGTGTGTGCAATTCTCTAACAACTAGTAATACAATGAGATGCTATGCTAATTAATTATAAAAAAATAAATTGGACCACTAGTTATCCTGCACCTAGTAAATGATGAGAGCCATGTGCAGATCCTGTTATTTTATCCAAGTACAGTGATGCCTTGATTAACAAATTTAATCCGTTCCAGCACCGAGCTCGTTATGTGAAACGCTCGTCTTGCGAAACAATAACATCCCTGTCATTAAAGGCATCTGAGAACCAGCAAGAATGCTTGGAAGCATCATGTGGTTTGCTTGTTAATCGAGTGAAAGCTCGTCAATCAAGACAAATTTTTTGCGAGTGGCTTGCTCGTTACTCGAAATGCTTGTAACTGGAGTCACTCGTCATTCGAGGTTCCACTGTATCTCTCATTTGTTTATTCTTTATTTATTTTTATATACAAGAGTTCTTACATTCTTGTACAGCCACTAGCACGCATAACATTTTGGGCAAGTCCTTAATCATAATTTTCACACACATACATCCCCAAGAAGCAGCCTGTAGCAGCTGTAACTCCCAGGTACCTATTTACTGCTAGGCAAACAGGCACATCAGGCTGAAAGAAACTCTGCCCATTTGTTTCTGCCTCCACCAGGAACTGAACCCGGACCTTTAGGACTATGAACCCCAAGCGCTGTCTACTCGGCTGTCAGGCCCCCAAATCTGATACAACATGATACAAACTGTTCTATGAAATAAAATCAAGTACAACACAAAAGACTGGCCAGAAGGAATAAATACACAGAATCACTGAAATAAAATACTGTACTGGAATGGATGGAATTGAAAACTGTGTAAATACAATATGCCATTAATGGTGAATGTATATATAGTTTAACCAGCTCATTTTCTCATCTTCTTTTAAATATTTGATTATCTTAGGTGTACTGCTAACCTTGAAGCTGCCAGTATACTGGTTAAACTCTTTCTTGAAGAATATCTCCATGTCAGTGAAACTGGACATGTGAGACTTGGTGCAAGGCGTGTTCATAATTCCAGACTTGATCTTAAAAGCGGCAGCACTCACATCCTGAAATATGAAAATAATAACATCCTTAGTACAATTATTTGAGCAATTAGGAGCACAGGTGTATTGTGGCTTGCTACAATGAGGGAATCATCATCTGTCATCTACTAGATGCCATCCATTGTGGAGTTCTCTGGCCTACTTGGGACCCACAGCCAGAACCTGGTTCCCTTACATGGTGCAGGGAGCTGTGGCATTTATGTATTAAGTTATTCATTAAACAGCTCATGTTAAAGTCTTTAAGCATGCTAAACATACACTCACTCCACACGTTCTCTTGTGCTATTTACACAAAAAACAAAAATGAACCAAACCCTGTTCTTAAATGATATTCTTGATCTGAAACTTTTCCTTGATAGGTGCAATAAAACCTATCAGCACCACACCAGAAATAAATATCCCTTTGATATCCCCAGAGTCAAACTAAATCTGTGCAATCAACTTGATAATGGTCCAGAACAGACCGAAACGTGGTCGTCTCCTCCTCTTCTGGTGTGTGGTCTAGTTCTCATACGAAATTAGGTATTTTTTGGTTTTACTTTTGAATAAGGCATAGGTTGGACAATTTTGTAATTCATTAGGGAGTGAGTTCCATAGACTGTGGTACTTTTTTTGCATTCAGTGTTTGCACAGATTTAGTTTGACTCTGGGGGATATCAAAGAGATATTTATTTCTGGATTGGTGCACATGGATTCTATTACACCGATCACGGAAAAGTTTCAGATCAAGATTAGCATTTAGGAACAAGATTTTGTACATGTAAAGAGCACATGAGAATGTGTGGAGTGAGTGTATGTTTAGCATGTTAAGGGGCATAAACAGAGAGGCTGTGTGTTGTCTGAAGACAGAGTTTGTAATAGTTCTGATAGCAGATTTTTGCAGAGTGATAATGGCTTGAGGTAATTTGCAATGGTTGAGCCCTATACACAGATACCATAAGTAAGATAGGGATAGATTAGCATATAGTATAATGAGAGGAGAGTAGAGATGGGAACATAATATCTGATTTTAGAGATTATACCAACCATTTATGAGACACTTTTGGCTATGTGTTTTATGTGGCGCTGAAGTTCAGCCTCTTGTCTATGTATAGGCCAAGGAACTTTTAATAATTTTTATTGCTAATGTTAACATTGTCTATCTGAAGTTGAATTTGATTTGAAGATTTAATACCAAAAATGTAGTACAGCGACACAACACACCTTGGTTTACGAACTATATTTACAGACTTTTTGGGTTACGAGCCCAAGTTCTTCGTAAAATGTGACTCAGCTTACAAGCTTTGCCGCAGGTAACGTAGTTTGTTGATATGAGTATGGGCAACCTAGCGTGTGGTTCCTTGTGGCACAGTCGCTCGCGCTTCAGTTCACCAGTGCTACCATGATTTACCAGTTTTCAGTTTAACCATGTGCTTAGTGATGCTCACGCATGAATTCTTTGTAAAGAATTTCATTGTTTTTCGGCTTTTGGGGGTTTTAAACATAAAAATAATTATACAGTATATCATGCCATGGGTCACAAGTAAGTCAGTGGTAAGGTTCAACCTAAGAAAACACATGTGAGGATGACCATAGAGGAAAATCAAAGAGATCATTCGTAAACATGAAGATGGTGTGCGCTTAAAAAGTTGTGTGCAGTATGGGAAGAAATGCAAAGATTTGTTGAAACGACTCACCCAATTCAAACTGCAGTAGGCTGTTGCCTTAACCTTTTCAATGACACTGATGCCTCACTACAGACAAATGTTAAAAAGTAGGGAAAACAAGTTTCTATGCAAAGGTTCTTAATGAGAAAAACAAGCAGTGAGTCACAACCAGGTTGTAGTGGTATGCAGGCAAAACATAGGAGAGAGAGTACTCCAGAGAAGTCATCACTGCCTGATGTTATAATGGAAGGGGTCTCCCCTTCCAAACAGTAACACCTCTTCTCTCCCCCCCCCATCCTCCTCACCATCTTCCATACACCAACATGAGTCATCAATGAAGGTAAATTATAACTTGTACATACTATAGTACTAAATATTTGTGAGAATTAGGTATGATAAGTATTTAGAAGTTAATATTTTTGGGAGTGTGGAATGGATTAATTAAATTTACATTATTTCTTTTGGGAAAATTAGTTTCGGGTTACAAACCATCTCTGAGAACGGATTAAATTTGTAAACGGAGGGGGCCACTGTAGGTCTTTTCTATGTCTAGTGTGAGTTTGTTGGTTGACATCCATGAGTGGACATTTTTAATTCATTTTTACAATAATACTTAGTGTAAGGGATGGGGTCAGAATAGATGAAGGTATAGTAGTATTGTCTGCAAATAGTATTTTGAAATATTTTTGAGATTACAGTAGAGGTAGATTTGATATTGGTCTGTATTTGTTTGTCAGCTGTCTCGCCTCCTTTATGAACTGGCGTCACTCTTGCTTTTTAAGGATATCAGGAAAAGTATGACACTAGAGATTTTTTGAATAGCAGAACTATGAGTAGAACAAGAGCAGGGGCAGAACTCTTATATACCATAAATGGTATTTCACTAATGTTCTTAGCTTTGGTTTTCAGTGATTGAATTTTGGATATAATGTCTATCAGGCTGACTGGTACAAGGAGTAGTTAGGATAGCTGACGGTGAGATATGTAGTAACATGTGTCTGGGTCTCTGGGATTTTTCTGGCAAGGTTAGCACCAATTGATGAAAAGAAGCTATTCAATTCAGTTGCAGTTTCTAAGTATGTTGCAAGTGTGTAACCATCTTTGGACAGATGTTCTGTGATTTTTATGTAATTGTTAATTACATCTTAGGATGTTAGAGATGGCTTTCCATATACGTTTCATATTTCTTTTTGCTTCTTTAAACCTATTCTCATAAAAGGAAAATTTGGCTCTTCGTGTTATATTGGTAAGCTCTGATAAGTATCTCTTAACTACTACTTTTAAAATTAGGCCAATCCTATGTTTTTCATATTCGTATTTCTTGTTAAATGCTTCAAGTATGCCACTTGTGAGCCAGGGGTTATTTAATCATCTGGCAGTTACTTGCTTAGTGAGGAGAGGACAATGTGTGTTGTAGAGGCTTAGAGTTTTGTAGAGAAAGATCTCGGCGAATGAATTTATATCCTGTGTGTTATCGAGTTCAGATTCCCAGTTTATATTTTAAAGTGCATTTATGAGGTTCCTATTGCTGCTTTGCTGTGTAGTCTAAAGGTAAGTTTCTTGGTATCCGAGGGTGTTAGATCCATGTTTGCTGAGAGGAAGATAGGATTTCATTACATTCAATGGTTGTTTTCTAGGGGGGAGCCACTTGAAGCTAACTACCCACAAAGAAGGAAGAAATGGACACTTACCAGGGAGGAGGGAGCACCTCAGGTATCATAACAAATAAGAAACAGTCGACCGAGAAAGCCAACCCAGAGCCACACGGGCGCTGAGGTCCGGGAACATTGACCAAGTACCCCCCAGAGCTCCCATGCCTGAATATTAGCCCCAGAGCCACATGGGCGCTGAGGTCCGGGAACATTGACCAAGTACCCCCCAGAGCTCCCATGCCTGAATATTAGCCCCAGAGCCACATGGGCGCTGAGGTCCGGGAACATTGACCAAGTACCCCCCAGAGCTCCCATGCCTGAATATTAGCCCCAGAGCCACATGGGCGCTGAGGTCCGGGAACATTGACCAAGTACCCCCCAGAGCTCCCATGCCTCAATATTAGCCCAGGACATGTTATCAAAAACTGAGCATTGAATGTAATAAAACACCATTTTCTGGGCGAGTCCCAGAGGCTCCCCAGAACTTACTGGGCTGATATGTATGTATTAGACTGTCGCATCAGTCAATTTGATTGAAGTTCTATGCCTACCATGGACCACGAGCCAGAACCTGATCCCCCTCAGAGAGGCACAATGAGCAATGGCCTATAGAACCCCCCCCCCCCATGTGGTTGGAAGCATTCCATATCTGCCATCGACTGGGTTTGGCACCCAAAAAGGTAGGGGTCCCAAAACAAACACCACCTGGTTAAAAATTGCTACCGAAAACCGAACTATCAAGCAGAACTCCTCATCCGAAAACAAGCAAACAAGCATGACGTCACAACCACCGCCATGCCACTGTCTGCGCAGCTTTCCCCTCTCCCTAGAGGGGAAAGGGGGGTCCCAGACATCTGCGCCGGCTATTCCACCTCAGCTCAGGCTGAATATCAAAAACACACAAAAACAAAACGCCGACCAGTGGGAGGGAGGGTTGCGGGGGAGCCTCTGGGACTCGCCCAGAAAATGGCTTTTCATTACATTCAACACTGGTTTTCTGTGGAGAGCCCCTTCAGCTCCCCAGAGTCACCTAACCAAAGATGAAGTAAAAGAGGGACTTACCCAGGAGGCGACCGCCACTCGTTCCTCAATTCAAAGTCGAGACAACTGGCCGCAACCTGCGACCCAGGGCTATACACGCGCGAGAAGGCGCCAGGAACATTAATGAGGTACCGTGCAGCCAGGACCCTGTTTAAACTCCAAAAACCCTGTGCCCGAATGTCAGCCCAAGACATATTGCCAAAAACAGCAGCCAAAGCCACGAACTTACGAACGTCTTGGGCATGGGAATAGACCACAGGCTGGTTAGACCGAATAATCCTGCAGACGACCTGAGAGACCCACACCCTGGATCAGGGAAGAAGGGAAACTGGGTCCACCCAAAGTGTGTCCCCTGCCACGGAGGCCGTGGCACGCAAATAATGACAAAGAGCCGCAACCGGACACAAAACATGATGTACCCCGGCCGAACCAACCAAGCATCAACAAACCAAGGACTCCTTCGAAAAACAGAAGACTCATTCTTCGCCAGAAAAGGAGAAGACGGCTGCAAACGAACAAAACGACCACCAGGAGCGAAAGAGCAGAAACCCCCAGCATCGGAGGAGAGCATGAAGCTCCCTGACCCCCCCCTCACCCCCCCAGGGGCCAATGCCAACAAGAAAAGAGCCTTAGAAAAACAGTTCTGAACCTATAAGGCCACCAC